TTTGATGGTGCTGGCACGGTTCCTTTGGGGAGAGCACCACAATATCTCTACTCTCCTCTCCTCTCCTTTGCCGTGTCCTGTGTCCTGAGTCCTGAGTCCGTCCCTGGCTAGTTGGTCCTTGCGCGCTTTGTTTGCTCGCGTCTGCTGGCAAATTTATGCGGTCCAGGCTAATCCTCGTGGGGATTTCTGCTTAAAAACGTTTTATTGTTGCCCCACGTAGGCGCAGACGGTGGTGGGCGTGGTCCTGGACGGCGACGGGGCGGGGGGGCGTGGCACACACGTTGCCTACTTTACGGCTGTCGACTGCAGATTTCCCAGTTGCCTTGTAAATTTATCGCATTAAAAAAAGTGTGAATTTTCAACAACGTTGTTTGCGCGTCCCCCGTTTCTTCCTTCGACCTTTTTTCCTTCTTCTTCTTCTTCTTCCTTCGAACTTCCGGTACCTCCTTGGTCCTTTTAATTCCTTTCTGTCTTGCAGCCGCCGCTTGACACTGTCATTATGTAAATTAAATTGTGGCGAATTATTGTTTTTATTCTTATTTTTCGGCTCTCTCCCCTCGCAGCTTTAACTTTCTTGTTTTCGCTTTTTGTGCGGGTGTTTGTGTGGGGAAACCATTCCCATTTCCGTAATTTATTTATATATTTATTTATTTCATCTCCTTGTCTTCGTCCTCGGCCTTGTCCTTGTCCCTGTCTCTGTCCCTGTCCTGTCCACGCTATTATTGTTCGAGTGTATAATTCATAATTTGCGGTTGCCGTTGCCGCCTCTCATATCGCTGACAAAGCAATAAAAGTTTCTCCGCCAAGTTAACAAATCACCATGGAGGAGGAAGGCTGAGATAGTGGGCGGGGTCGCAGGACAAAACGAGGATCGCAAAATCTTATTTCAAAGGCAGGTGGGGTGCCTGTTATTACAGAAAACTTCAGAGAAGCCACCAATAAAAGCCCAACCGAAGGTCTCTCTTGATAACTCTGTAGCTTAATCCTTTCAGAGGAATCAACCTTCTGCCGGGCACATCCTTCAAATTGTCATATTTGCTGCTCGGCTTAGTGCTAGCAGTTCCTTCAGAGTCCTGGCCATCGATCCGTTTCAATTAGCAGCAACAGTTTGAGTAAGCTTCCCTTGGACCACAGGCTTAGGACCTTTCGTTCATCGTCTTCTCGTCCTCGTCCTCGTCCTTGGTCCTTGCTGACCGCCCATCAACCGCTGGACTGTTAATTAAGCTTTAGAGTAACAGACACGACTCTCATACACACATGCAGATGTTTGTCCAGACGACTGGACACGATACACACTGCAAAAAAAAGAAGGAGCAGGGAACATTGAAAGCAACCAAAAAAAAACCACCTCCCACTTTTTATTACAAATTCAACTTGTCTCTCGGTGCATTGGCAGGACGAAAAAGTCCAGGGAAAAACGGAGACGAAATCTAAATGAAAACCGAAATCGAAGGAAAAATCTGTGAAAAAGAGATACGTCAGGGGAGGGCTTTGAGTGGCCAGAGGAAAAAAAGACAAAACGAAAAAGGAAATGAAAAATCATAAAATAATAAATTGCGGATTTAATTTAATTTTATTTTGCCAACGAGGAACCAAATAACATCAACAAGAAAAGCGAAACGCATCATAATAAACGGCTTTTGATGGGGGCCAAGCGAACACTTAAGGCGGCCAGTGGGCGTGGTACATCAAAAACGTAAAAAAAAACAACAAGAAGAAAACTCCTGGGGAAAGGCATTTTCCTTGGAGGAAAGGCGTCTCGGTCAGGAGTCGGCACGTGATTGATGTGCGCTTATTGTGGCAGCAGTAATGGGCCAGCGAAAGATGTTCGACAGATTTTCCTGCTACCGAGGACATGCGGGGTATATTAGACTCCTTTGACAGGGAATCAGAAGGGAGAGTAATAAATGCAGTGCAGGTTCTGGGGAATAGGCAAGTCCATCATATGCTAGATTTCTAACACAAAAATCTGAAAAGTGACAAGCACAAAACAAAAACGAGCAGCAAAAGAACAGGGAGAAGGAGTAGGAGCAGGAACAGGAGCAGGAGCAGGAGCAGGAACAGGAGCAGAAGCAGGGACCAGGAGCTAGAATCTCGAGCTGAGACCACAAAGACTGGGACTGGGCCTTGCAGAAAATCCAGAAAGAAAAGGTCGGAACGGTGAGATGGCCTCGGACTTGGACTACGGCCTTTTGTCTCGTTGTGTTTGTTTTCTCCCGGCTCGTGTTTGCCCTCGCCTCGCCTTGCCACGCCACAAATAGGACATCAAGGACACTTAAGGACATGTCCCAGACACCCGAGAAATTCCAACCTGGCGAAGCAAATCATAAAAATCAAAGGAGCACAAATACAACAAACAAACAGGACACAGCATATAGCACGCAGCAGCAGAAGCAAAAAAAAGAAATGCCAAGGAATAACGAAGGAGAAATTCGAAAGAATTAACAACGCGTCAAATCAGGGCCAGCTTAGGAACAGTTTTATGCCAGTACCCCCCTTTTATGATGGACTTTTATTGCCGCCGTTTATGCCTTCCTGCCCTCCCATTCGAAGGACATGAAATTATTTTGCATGTCGCGCGCCATATAAGCTCAACTCAAGCTAGCAAATTTTGGGATAAACCCTTCGGTACGGCAACGGGACCAAAGTTTTCCCATAAAAAAAAAACAGAAGAGATGAGAAAAAAACCCTTGTCCAAGGACCATCTGTGACCGAAATGAGGGGACTTTGCAGCTAAAATGGAACCGATCGCAGGAGTCTAAGAAAAGGGAATATAGAGATTTTCTTGGCCTTTTAAATATATTTATTTGTTTACTTGGATTTTTATATGTATTAAGAACAATTTTTTGAAAAAATAAGGTGAATTATCTGCTTATGGATTTTTTCCTCGCTTTCTTTAAAGTGTCAGTGGTCGACAAGGCGTATAATTAATATTGATAGAGGTTGTGTTAATTCCTAATATATCAACATGCATGTTTGCATCTCATTTGATTTAAAGCCATTAAAGCCATAAAATTAATAGTGAAATTATAAAATAATAATAAGTTCACTATTAATTTTATAAGGATCGGCCGACTATATCATATATATGCCTTAAAAACGATCGTTAAATGTGTGCCTCCCTCTCTTTCTCGCTGTAGCTACCTCCCTCTGCCTATTTGTAGAGGCTGCTCTTTCCCTCTCGCTCCCGCTCTGCCTCGCTCTACAAATAGCTCAGTGCCTCTTGCTCTCACAGTTTCTGTGCTCTCCTCTGGGACTATAAATAGAGGCGCTGAAGGCGCGCGCCCTCAGTATGTGCGCGACCCCCCACCTGTTAACATCGATAGTGATCGTGATTACTAGTGATAGTGAATGCCCTGCGAACTGGAAAATATTACCTATACATCTGGATAATGAAGAAGAGGCTCAAATTGATGACAACTCACAAATACTGCGGTAAGTCTTTATCATGACAATTATGTATATGAATAGATGCTAATAGAGGGATTTGGCGTAGGTCTACAATAAGCTAGCTATGCATTTATTGTCCGATTAATTCACTTATTGCCATGCACCCCATTTTTTTAATTTGACTAAAAGTGATTCAGGAATTTGTATTTAGGATGACTTCTCAAAGTTAATAGCCTTACTTAGCCTTAATTATACATTATTTATTAATATTGATCTCTTATCCTTACGATAGTTTCAAAACTGAAGCTGACTTTGGTCCCAACATTTGCAATATTTTTATACCCTCGAAGCAGTCAGAAGCTTGTAACTATGTGAAAGAGTCATTTCTGACTCTATAAGCTATATATATTCTTGATCAGCATCAACAGGCGAAACTTTCTAGGCATGTCCGGGATAAAAAAATTTTTTCCCAATCTTTTAAATAAAAGCACAAAATTTGCAAATTTTAAATTTTTAATGAAGTATGTAGAATTATTAACCTAATAAAACTAACATGAGAAAGGTTTTCAAATAAAAAATAAATTTTTTTTTGCTGAGTTATGCAAATTTTAAACTTTGATTTGCCGAAAATATTGTCATATGAAAATGTCGCTAAATATATTCGCAAAGTGACTGAACTAATGTTTTTAGAATAACTTCATTGGAACTGAATTTCATTTGACTTATTATCTCAATACAATCCCCCCTTGGATTATTATAAATTTTAATAACAATTTCTTAAAAAATAATTTTAATTGTCTGTTAATGGGCTTTTTCCTGGCTTTCCTTTGAAATTTCAATGGCCTACAAGGCGTATACTTAATTCTGATTGAGGTTGTATTAATTCTTAATCTATCTCTTTAAGTCTATTAAAAACATTAAATTCTTTTCAAAAATAATGACTAAATGAGCACTACAGTTTTTCATATTTCTGGAATGGCTTTCCTTGTTTCAAATAATCTTTCTTGTAACCACGGGGCGTATACGTAATCTTTTTCGCTGGTCTGCTACTTTTATATGTCTTTTTGAATATATTTATATATTTAATTAGATTTAATACACTATTGGAGCCAATTCTAGAGTTTTCCAATAATTCTCCAAGGGTTTCCCCAGCTTTAAATGACAATTTTAGAAGCCCACAGGGCGTATACGTAATCGCAGCTTAGGCTGTAATATTTCTAACTCAATCTTTTAAATATATTTCTTTTTATTTATTCAAATTTGTATTTATAATGGGAAAATGCTTCATAAAAAATGTTTCCCTTAAATGGATATGGTAATTTTTAGCGCACAGGGCGTATACTTAATCGTGATTTAGGTTTTGCTATTTCTAACTCAATCTTTTTAAATATTTATTTTTTCATTTACTTAATTTTGTAAATATAATGGGGCAATGCTTTATAAAAAGGTTGGATATAGTAATTTCAGCTACCGACGGGGCGTATACTTAATATTGATAACCGTTCCATTATTTCTAACTCAATCTATCTGCATATATATTTTTGCGTAATCGAAATGGCTCTCTTTGATTGGATAGAGTTATTTCTGTGGCCCACAGGGCGTATACTTACTCATGATCTCGGTTGTGCTTGTAGGAGTCGCGGTAGCGCGTGCGCAGATTCCGCCGGATATCGCTGCTATCGTTGGCATGACGGTTGTGGGAAAGGGCGGCGGGGAGAAGCAAGGCCATTTCTGGAAGAAAAACAAAGGGAATAAATTGTGGTGATTACTAGGAGAGTTTCTTCAGAAGCGGCAAAACCACACACGCGCTGCAGCCATAATTCAATCACGTCATGCACTCCCGGAAGTGTGTGCGTGTTTCCATCACATATGTATATAAATATATGTACATATATTTTGAGTTTGCCTTATTTGTTTGGCTCTTCTTTTCTTCGACGTCGTTTTGCCGCATTTTTTACCGCGCGGAATCAAAACATGCCATTAGCAGACTACCAAAAAAAATAACACACAAAATAGGGGGAGAGAGAAACGGATAGCAGGGCAAACAACATGTGCAGGAATGCTTCACCTTTTGCTCCTCCGACCTTCGACCACAGATTGCATAGAAATGCGAAACCTTAACCCGCTCAAGACCCCTTAACCCCCTCAGGCCACCGCGGTAGCAGCGACAACACGTCAGCCACCGACAGCCAACAGCCAACAACCAACACCTTGGTGACGTGTCGCGGATGCAGAACGATGCCAAATGCCAGTGACACTCGAAGAAAATTCATTCAAACACTATTTAGTTGATATTTTTTTATATATATTTACATCCATAGAAACGATCGTTAAATGCATGCCTCCCTTTGCACACACACACTCTCTCTGTATCTATAAAGATCTCTTGCACTCGACCTCCCTCAGCCTCTGCCCTCTACAGATAGCTCTTTCCCTCTCGCTCTCTCTGACTCTCTACAGATAGCTCTTTCCCTCTTGCTCTCACAGTTTCTCCTCTCTTCTCTGGGACTATAAATAGAGGCGCTGAAGGCGCGCGGCCTCAGTATGTGCGCGGACCCCCACCTGTTGACATCGATAGTGATCGTGATTACTAGTGATAGTGAATGCCCTGCGAACCGGAAAATATTACCTATATATATGGATAATGAGGAAGAGGCTCAAATTGATGACATCTCACAAATACTGTGGTAAGTCTTAATCATGATAATTATTGATACTAATAGAGGGATCTGGCGTAGGTCTAGAATAAGTTAGTTACTCATTTATTGTCTAATTAATTCCTTTATTGTCATGAACCCTATTATTTTAACTTAACTAAAAGTGATTCAGCAAATTGTATTAAGGATGTCTTCTCAAAGTTAATAGCCTTACTTAATTATACATTATTTACGAATGTTGATTTCAAGCACTTACGATAGTTTCAAAACTAATCATCACTTTGGCCCTAACTTGTGCTATAATATTATACGCTTGGAACAGTCAGAAGCTTGTAGCTATATGTAGGAGTCATTTCCGACATTATAAATCATATATATTCTTGATCAGCAGCAACATGCGGATCTCCTAGGCATGTCCGAGAGAATAGAAAATGTTAGCAATTTTTTGAATAAAAATCAAAGGGGTTACATCGTTAAAATTTTCAAAAATTTGCAAAATGTTGAATTTTTTAATGAAGTATTTAGAATTGTATTGAATTGAATGTAACTTGGGAAAGGTTTCCAAATTAAAATTAAAGCTTTTTTGACTGAGCTATGCTGAGCTTTAAACTTTGATTTGCCGAAAATATTTTCATATAAAAATGTCGATAAATATATTCGCAAATTGACTGAACTGATGTTCTTAGAATAAATATATTTTAACTGAATTTCATTTGACTTATCATCTCAATACAATCCTATTTCCCTTGTTTTTTGTTCAGTGTTCGTGGTATCCTTTGATTTCACCGCCACTGTGTTTACCCGATATAATTTACGTGCGCGATTTGTTTGCTGTTTGCCCTGGGACTCTGGCACACTCAAAGGTCTCCAAAGAGGAGCAGGTTTCGAATGGGGGATTGGAATGGGGACAAGGACAGGGATAGGGAGTGGGTGATGGTATCCTGGCACCGAGAGTTCATCAGAAAAAAGGGGGTAGAGAGCTCATTGGGTTTACTTTTAGTCATTTGTATTCAAAGGCAGGTATTGTTCGATACTCTCTTACATAAATTGTTCTAATTCTGATTCTAATTCTTTATTCAATAAAATCATAGACTCCCTGCCCACTGATAGTTTCAGCAGACTTTGGATATACTTTATAAATTATAATTTCTCTTCAATCAATTTCAAAAAGTTGTGAAAAAAAGCGACACACTCTTCTGCTCTCACTCTCTGGTTATCTCCTCTGGATGCTGGTATATCCTGTCCTGGTCCTGGCCCATATGTGTTGCATAATTTTAGGCATCGCCGCCGCCAGCCCCTGCAACTTATGTAAATTTAACGAGCCAAGTGCTAAGTACAGAAGGATGCGGCGCCCTCCCTCCCTCCCCCATTTGCATAATCAAATGCCATATTGTTGGGGCCCAACGTCAAGGTCCTTCCGCTCAGACTTTGCCTTGGGCATCTACATAAGGGCAGCCGCCATGCGAAAGGGAAACTTTTGCCAGCCTTCAAGCGGAAAACTGGAAAGTTCAGGTGCCATCAAGGCAAGATCTAGGTGGCCACAGATCAGGGTTTTTATACCAATAGATTTTGTTGTTGAGCCTTTTATTGTTGCTTGTAATTATTTGCCCAGCTGGAAAACAGCTGATCCTTGGAAATGTGGCTCTAGGACTCGGTCCAAATAATTGGCCAAACAAACCTCCTTTCGAACGAGGGTTGTAGGACACCCCTGCCTGGTGTGGCTTCTGGCCGAAACTGCCGCTCGATGGCACTTCATCGCTCATCTCGGACGATTACCAACCTGACGACCGTGAACCAAGATGACAGCCGCTCGCACACACACTCATACACAGCTGCAGGTTAATTGGAATTTAGTACATGTGTGTGGTGAGTATGGGTGTGTGTGATGGCGTGCTTGCGAGTGTTAAGCAATTATTTTTATAACGTTAATGAGCACCGAGCATTATTGCGGCTGCGAATGAGGTCGTCTCCAATTCGGGGCAAGGGAAGGTAAAGGGATCTGCCGCAAACTGGGGGATCCTGGGGGTCCTGGGTTTTCCGGGTATATAATATATTTTTCTGGCGGCACGTGTGGCAAATGTCGCACGCGGAAAACCCCGAAAAAAGGACGCGCGGCGTGGCAGTCAACCGAAAATTTCCCCAAAATTTCTGTGTGTGCAACTTGAGGTGGAGTTTGTGAATTATGTAGATGGCAATTACCGCTGAGTTTTTCCGCTTTTTCCCACATTTTCACCATTTCTTCATTACCCCTAGCCCCGACCCTGGTCCCTGGATAAGTGAACTGATCATGCATATTTTATGGTTGCAGGTCTTACCTTACCTTACCTTACCTTTCACCTTTCACCTGTGCCTTTGTTTACCTTAATTATTGTGCGTATTTTTGTGTGGGTGTGTGCGTCCTGCTGAAGACAGGAAGACACACACACACGGACGTCAGCTTGTTTGTTAGCAATTATGTTGGAATTAGAAAATTTTTAATAGCATACTTAAGAGCGCCCCCCACACTGACATATTTCGTTTCCGTTTCCTGTAGGCAGCCGGCAGCAAATTGAATTTGGTTTTGACTGGGAAACATAGGATATGGAGAGATGATGGGCGGTTACAGGTCTAAGCAAGGATACAGAGATACAAGCTAGAAGGAGAATATGTTCATTTTGTAGGAGTTAAGACGGCAAGGAACCACGGAGTTCCTTGAACTGCTAAAATATTTACACCACCATAAGCTGTTAACTTATGACAACTTTAAAGACTTTAAAGTCTAGATGGTTAAGAATTTAAGTTTATGAGTTAGTTAAGACACAAATAGCTAGTATTAGCGTTACTACTCAGAGGGGGGGTGTAAAAAAGGAGATAAACTTGTGTCGAAAGCTTATACTCTTTCTGTTTTTAAAAACTACAGCTGTGTTCTCCTTTGATTTTGTAGTTTTTTCTGCGGTCATGTTGCCCATTAATAATCGACTCTTTTAATGCCCTGTAATTGCTGGCAAGGCTGGCAAAGGAGAGAGAGCTTCTATAGACTCCTCCTGCTCGTCCTGTGACGATTGTCGGTCGGCTATTTGCAACGCAAACACAACCGCACATCCGCCTCCGCATCCGCCCACAGAGTCGGCGGGCATGGGCATGGGCATGGGCGTGGTCGTGGGAGGTGCTAAAAACAATAAACAGCTTAAGCGCATTATGAGCCTTAAACACACATACACTCACAGAGAGACGACGCCCAAGCAAGCGCTTTAATTAACATTCGCAGGACTGCCAGCTCCTAGGACACCACCTACATACGTGTGTGGTTATGCGCACATAATTGTGGACCAATTAAGGAGTAGGCGAAGCCTCCCACTTTCCCCACCTTCCCCACCATATCCCTTATGTTTTGGTTTAGACATTAAAATAATAATAATTGCGCTGCAATTCCCGAAAAACATGAGCTGAGAATTAATTTTTAGCGAACCGGAAAAGCAATATTCACGCATTTGTTACGCAATTAGTTGACGCATTTATATTTAATATTTTAATATGCATTTTTTTGGTAAAACACACAAATATTGTATCAACAAACCTCCACCGATTGCCTACAATAAATAGGCCCCACACACATTCCGATTATAATTGTAATTAAATATGTAATTATATAAAAGCGATTTTAGCTTTAAAACAACATTCGAAGTTAATGAACTGTGCTTGTGTGTGTTCGAGGTTCCGAATTTTCATTCAAATAATAACTCATAAAAGTAATTAAGGCTTTATTTTATTTGAATACCAAAATATTTGTTAAATGCAAATAATATTAGCGAAAGGTTTTTCGGCAGATATGTGGTGCTATGTGCAATAATATTATCAATGGCGTTAATTACGCCGGGTCTGATTGGATTTGCTATATATATTTCATATAGAACTTGTATATAAACAAAAATAACTCTAGGAGTTTCTGATTTGATTCCCAGCATTAGCATTTTCCAACATGTTGCCCTAAATGTTGCAAACTAAAGGCCACTTTGGTTGCCTTTTAATTCGGTTAGTGCAACTTTGAAGCTGCCACAAAGGGGCTGGGAGGGAGGTAGGAGGAGTATGTGATGT